CACTCCTGGGGTCACCACAAGTTCTCTTACATCAGATAACCATCACTCTTATTGTATGCTTCCTGGAAGAATCAGCTTGGTTGCCAATAAGTGCAGAATTAGCTATGAGACGTTCTCATTAGCATCTTGGTCAAAAGCAATGCTCACAAACATACAACGTGGAGATGTTCATACTTGCAACTGGGATATTTTGCTGGGCTTGGCTGACACACACACACACACACACACACACACACACACACACACGGAAGAATAGCTAAACCTTATTTACCTCCCTACCATGACTGCCACCTCAGCTTGGCAAAGAAAGGTGGGGGAGATCTCAGCAGAGAGTGCAATTCTTGGGCTTCAGAGCACCTGAGATGAGGTCCATATCTTATGACTGGGCTGCTTTTTCTTCTCTCTCTCTCTCTCTCCCCCCACCAAAGCAAGGGCATTGGGTAGCTGGTTGTCCTCTCCAGGACAAATGTATCATCTAGCCAGTGTGGTGTTGTGGTTAAGAGTGGTAGTCTCATAATCTGGTGAACCGGGCTCGCGTCTCCGCTCCTCCACATGCAGCTGCTGGGTGACCTTGGGCTAGTCACACTTTGCTGAAGTCTCTCAGCCCCACTCATCTCACAGATACAGATAGGTAGCCGTGTTGGTCTGCCATAGTCAAAATAAAAAAATTCCTTCCAGTAGCACCTTAAAGACCAACTAAGTTAGTTCTTGGTATGAGCTTTCGTGTGCATGCACACTTCTTCAGATACACACTGTGTATCTGAAGAAGTGTGCATGCACACGAAAGCTCATACCAAGAACTAACTTAGTTGGTCTTTAAGGTGCTACTGGAAGGAATTTTTTTATTTCATCTCACAGAGTGTTTGTTGTGGGGGAGGAAGGGAAAGGAGAATGTTAGCCGCTTTGAGACTCCTTAAAGGGAGTGAAAGGCGGGATATCAAATCCAAACTCTTCTTCTTCTTCTTCTTTTTCTTCTTCTTCTAGCCATTAGTTGAGGTGGCCCCACATATGGAAACAGCATAGCTTCATTGAAGGTGATGCAGGAGAATGTGCTTCCCTGTCCAACTTCTGCACCAGAGACTGTCAAAACCTTGCGCCCAGACTCAAGGATGCAAACCACACAATTTGTGTAACATACTCCAATTGTGACATCCAAGTGATTCATGCAATTTTGAATTCTTAAGCACTCCAGAAGAATGTGTGAATGAACAGGAAAAAAGTGTGAATATGTGAATGTAAAAAGGGGTGGGTGGGAGAGAGACGAAGGACAGTGCCAGATGGTCAGTGTTTTCAGGTGTGATTCAGTCACATATTGGTCAGTTCAGGTTGTCCAACTACAGTGGATTGGGTGGTATTGTGCCGCAAACACACTTCCCCCAAAGATCAGACTTTTGTGACAAGGATAAGGAAAGTGACTTGTGGTTCCTGAGGCAGTGAAGCCAGTGAAGACGATGTGATCAGCAAACGAAGCCATCTTATTTGTTGGAAGATTTCCCTGCGCCTGCTCTTTCTATATTCTGCAGCATATGATCTCAAGCTGGAGATGTGTTTGCCACAATGTGGGAAAGGCTGGTCTCAAAGCCCATCAGAGCTTGTGGTCTTGTGTGCCACAGTGGCCAATGGGATGTTTCTGGAAGTCACAGGCCTCCTTCAGTAGGGAGGGAGGGATCTGTCAATTTCAGTTCTCTTGGTTTCTCATTTTTCTGGTCTTAAATTCAGTTCTCCACATTTCTGCAACCATTTATGATTTTTCTAAAACAAAATCCCCATGAACATTCACCAGTATTTTAGTGCAAATTTCTCCGAATGAACACATTTTTTCTGTGCAATTTAGCCCAAGGTACACATTTTTGCAAAGCAATTTCCCCTAATGCAGACATGGCCTAGCTAACAGGACCAGTGGTCAGGGATGATGGGAGATGCAGTCCTAAAACATCTGGAGGACCAAGTTTGGCCATGCCTGCCCTAATGTAACAATTTTTAAACAATATTTTCACAAATATATATGCACTTTTATACCCTCTTTACCCTAGTATATGCATATTTGTGCACATTATTTCATTGGAGAACTGCGTTGCAAAATTCAGAGAAGTGGGAATTTCAAAGGATGGTTGTGTTTTGGTTCACATAATGCTTCGGAAAGCATGGAGTTGTCAGGTTTGCCTTTAAAAGCGAACTCCCCCCCCCCATCCCTACCTTGAAATAAAAGTTGTACAAGTGTCCTGAAGGAACAGTGTGAGTAAAATCCCATGATGAATAATATTATCTTATTTTCTTAAAGAAAACAAGCATTCCGCATAAGCTGCAATTAAAGTAATAGGTCTGCCTCCTTGCCCAGAGGGGCTTTTGAACTGGGTCTTTGAGTCTTTGCTGACTTGCATTTAGGGAGAAGCTGAGATGCTGTTTTCCCGTTGGGGAAGTTGAGTTGTTTAGTAGGGCAAGGCAAGGAGATGGGGGAAGAACTGGGCTCTCTCGTTTGTATTTCAAGATAGCATGAAATAAGGAACAAGAATTGCAAGGAGAACTGAAGAACTGGTGTGTGGCCTTGAGCAGTGCAACATTCCCCCTCCCACAGAGTTGAGTCTGTTCCCAGAACTGTCTCTCCCTCCCCACCCACAATCCCGTTGGAGAACATTGCTGCTTCCCCTTTTGTCCGTCTCATCACATAATCAGGGTGAAATCCCCAGGGTGCATAGGGGTGTGGGAGAAATGTAATTCAGTTTGCATCTGAAGACCAACTCACCAGTTCCACACTTTCTGAAACAATACACAAACTGAAAATAGTCATCCTTTGAAATTCACGCTTCTCTGAATTTCGCACCGAATCCCTCAGCTGAGTGATGTGTATGAAAATGGACACACTGTGGCAAAATGCATATACAGTGGGTTAAGTACTTAATTCATTCCGGAGGTCCGTACTTAACCTGAAACTGTTCTTAACCTGAAGCACCACTTTAGCTAATGGGGCCTCCTGCTGCTGCCATGCCGCCAGAGCACGATTTCTGTTCTCATCCTGAAGCAAAGTTCTTAACCTGAAGCACTATTTCTGGGTTAGCAGAGTCTGTAACCTGAAGCGTATGTAACCTGAAGCGTATGTAACCCGAGGTACCACTGTATCAGTGACAATAATATGCAAAGGTGCCTTGTATTAGGCAAAAACTACTTTGTAAAAACATGCTCATTGGGAGAAATTTGCACTAAAATGCTGATGAATTTTCACGAGGGCATAAATAATTGTGTTACAAATAGGCATGGAAATGCGGAGGAGTGAACTTGAGATCGGGAAAATGAGAAACTGAAATTAATGTACTTTCCAATCCTTAATGGTAAAGCAAGACATTTTAAGGTTTTGGCCTGAGCAAGGTTGGTGGAAGCGCCTTTACTTATTTATCTTCTATACTGCCTTTCACTTGAGAATCGCAAGGTAGTTTACTATAGAAAAATAATAAAAACACACAATAACAAACAAAACAATAACCTCCCCCAGTTTAAAAGGTCATATATTGTTTCATTAGCCAAAGCCCTGGAAGAAGAGGCATGTTTTTGCCTGGCACCTAAAGATAAGTAATGAAGGTGCCAGGCAAGCCTTCCTGGGGAGAGCATTCCACAAGTGGGGAGCCACTGCAGAAAAGACCTGTTCTCATGTTCCCACCCTCTGGACCTTCCGTTGACAGGGTACACCAAAAGTGCCTTAGATTATGATCACAGGGTCCAGATTGGTTCATATGGGAAGAGGTGGGTCCTTGAGGTATTGTGATCCTGAGCCATTTAAGGCTTTATAGGTCAAAACCAGCCATTTGAATTGGGCCCAGAAACTGATTGGCAGCCAGTGCAGTTGGGCCAAGATTGGTGTTAGATGCTCAAACCATCTTGTCCTGGTGAGCAACCTGGCTGCTGAATTTTGCACTAGCTGAAGTTCCTGAAACATCTTTAAATGTAGCCCCATGTATAACACACTGCAGTAATCTAGCCTAGAGGTTAGCAGAGCATAGACAACAGAAGTTGTCCCTGACCAAATAGGGGCACCAGCTGAAGCTGATGGAAGGCACTCTGAAACAGCCAGGCCATGTGAGCCTCAACTACCTGACTTTTAGAAAACGTCTGAAGGCAACCCTGTTTAGGGAAGTTTTTAATGTTTTATGTTTTATATTGTTTTTAATATTCTGTTGGGACCCGCCCAGAGTGGCTGGGGAGGCCCGGCCAGATGGGCACTGTATAAGTAACAAATTATTATTATTATTATTATTATTATTATTATTATTATTATTATTATTATTAGAGTTTGGATTTGATATCCCGCCTTTCACTCCCCTTCAGGAGTCTCAAAGCGGCTAACACTCTCCTTTCCCTTCCTCCCCCACAACAAACACTCTGTGAGGTGAGTGGGGCTGAGAGACTTCAAAGAAGTGTGACTGGCCCAAGGTCACCCAGCAGCTGCATGTGGAGGAGCGGAGACGCGAACCCGGTTCCCCAGATTATGAGACTACCGCTCTTAACCACTACACCACACTGGCTCTCATTATTATTATTATTATTATTATTATTATTATTATTAGCAATGGATCCAGCAGTACCCCCAAGGTAGTGAAATGTCTTTGGCCAGCATTGATTCCATCTCATAATATGGACAACAAAAGGCTTTCCCCCCCAGTTGCTTCAAGGAACTGCTGTTTCCTCTCCTTAAGAAAAACAAGGCAAACTTTTGATGATTCTGTACAACTTTAATAACATCTGGTGTGGTAACCTTGTTTAAAACGAGCAGTTGATGTGTGAAGAAACTGCCTATTTGGTGGGGTATCTGGAGGCAAATTGCCAGTGGGACGAAGGAGAAGCCAGCAGCAAACCTGCGAGAAGACAAATCAGCCCTCCTTCCCCATGGTGACACCCTTAGCAAAAGGTATAAATCAAGACCTGCAGGATAACCGCGGCACACTCTGACTGAGTGTCAAACCTTGAGCGCTGGCTTCTGCTTTGGGTTGGTTCTCCAAGTTGCTCTCGCTATGAGAAGCAGCACCGTGCACAGTCCAGTAATCGTGGGAAGAAATAGCGCAAGTGTTGGCTCGAATGGGAGATCCAGGTTTTCCTCTGTCTCTTCCAGCTATCACACCTCTTGTGGGCTCGGTAGTGCCAGAGGCAATGCCTCCCGCTTTGAAGGTCGTTCCACCCATGACTATGGAATTGGCCAAAGCAACTTTCTGAGCAGCGGTTGTCATGGTGCATTTATCAGGGGTGGCCATAGGAGGAGAATGAGTACAGGTAGCTGCCCCAGTGGTAACCATGGCGGTTATCCTCCATTTGGATATGGGGATGGGCTAGCTGAAGTCAGGTCCGATGGAGCTGGCAATGGAGTTGGCGGGACGGGTGGTGATCCCGAAGCTTGCGGCATTGTCTTTTCTTCTACTGATGGAAAGGCGGTCATGCAGGACCTCAATGACCGCTTGGCCAGTTATATAGACCAAGTGCGATGCCTGGAGGCTGAAAATGCTGAGCTTCAGTCCAAGATCAGTGATTTCCATGCCAAGAACAGGTTGGCTGGTGAACTGAAGGACTACAGCCACTATTATCAGCAGATTGAGGAGCTTCAAAAGCAGGTAGGAATGTCATCTCCCAGGAACACTCAAAGCATTCCTGGTGGCCTGGTTTACATGACATGATAAGCCCAACGATGGCTTGCTGGGGTCATGTGGATGTGTGGACTTGGAGCCTCTTTGCTTCTCCACAGTCATTTGTGGTGCTGTGCTGAGCTAAGCCAAGGATTGACTTAGCACAGGCATAGGCAAACTCCGGCCCTCCAGATGTTTGGGACTACAATTCCCATCATCCCTGACCACTGGTCCTGTTAGCTAGGGATGATGAGAGTTGTAGTCCCAAACATCTGGAAGGCTGTAGTTTGCCTATGCCTGACTTAGCATGTTGTACAAACAGGGACTTGTGGCTAAGCTCTGTCCTCACCAGGGATGGCCAAATCTGTCAAGTTCAGTTTCCCTCTGTTTCTCATTTTCCCAGTCTTAATCTCAGTTCTTCACATTTCCATATCGGTCTGTGATTTAAATAAATAAATAAAATGCCCTTTTGAAAACTGAGCAGCATTTTAATGTGAATTTCTCCCAATATACACGTTTGTGTGTGTTATTCTGTCAAATACACACATTTATGTAAAGCAATTTCTCTGAAAATAACATCAGTATTCAGTATGTTGTTTTTAGCAATATATGCATTTCTGTGGATACTTCACCCCAGTGTATGCATTTTAAGACCCATCACTTGGCTGGAAAACTGTACTGCAAAGTTCAGAGAGCTGCGAATTTTGAAGGACGGCTGTGCTTTGGTTCTTGTGCGGAAATGAGGTAGCCTTGGCTTAAAAAGGGAACCTAATCAACTTGCTGCCCCAAAGATTTATTCTTGGCTACAGCTTGTGGTTGGTGAGGACTGTTCTTAACCATGAATACTGGTCCGGATTGAAGGCTAAGCCAAACCATGGCTTAGCTCAGTATGGCATGAGAGCAAAAAGGACTGGGGAGGAACAAAATGGTTGTTAGCGGCTCTGGGGAAGCCCACCCCTTCTTGCTATCCCGGTGAGCCATTGATTGGCTTACCATTGTTGTGTGAACCAGGCCAGTGTGTGCATTGTAGTTCTTGTGTTATAGGCAAAGAAAGCCATCTACCCAAATCAGCTTTTTCATCATTCAGCTCTGGACTTCATTCTTTGGTCTTTGTATAGATCAGGAGAAATTAACAAATTCCATTTCTCTCTCCCATCCCACCCCAGATTGTATGTACAACAGTAGAGAACAACAGCATAATTATCAAGATTGACAACAATCACCTGAACGTTGAAGACATGAAGCACAAGTGAGTTACGCATTGCTCTGAACGTCTCTTGCCTTTTGAGCCTGAAATCTTTATGTCACTGTTAAATTCATATTTGCAGAAAACTTGGATTAGGTTGGGGAAGACGGCTGGAATGGGTGTATAAACAGGGGAGGTGTGCAGATGTCTCCAAGACTGTAGACATCACACTAATTTATGTACTTCTGTGCACACTTTACCCAGTCACATGCATTTTTGTACAACCTCCTCGGTTGGAGAACTGTGCTGCAAAATTAAGAGAAGTGTGACTTTTGAAGGATGGCTGTGTTTTGGTTCATGTATTGCTTCTGAACGTACAAATTTTGAAGGGCCACTGTGTTCCAATCCCTGTCTTGTTTTAGAAAGTGCCGATGGTGCAAGCTCGCTTTAAATAAGCAATGAGTTAATCTTCTCTCCCATTCCTGCTCTGGAGAAGGGTTTTTATTGGGACTGGGGCAGCGGCAGAAAGACGCGAACTCCCTGTCCCGAGACTGCTCGGGTTCACCCACCATTACTCTGTTATTTATGTAATAAGAAATGTATGTAAATTGCATTAATGCAATTATAGTTGCATCTAGTTTGGCCCTTGCTAAACAAGAGACCCAGGCCTGCTAACTTTGTCAGTAGCCACGGCTCTTTTGCAATGTCTCCTTTAATTTAATTTGATGTTAAGAAACTCAGAGGAGGAGCACTAGCTGGGACAGAACATAAGGATCCCAAATTGCTTTTATCGCTCAAATCATACTAAAGCCAGCCTTTAGTCATTTCCGTTTATGGCAAACACCTACCAATTTTAGCGTGCCATGAATGAATCAGGGCTGGGCTTATCATGAAATGCATAAAGCTAATTTGTTCATTCTAGGATGGGAATCTTTCCCCAATAATAATAATAATTTTATTTGTACCCTGCCCATCTGACTGTGTTGCCCCAGCCACTCTGGGCGGCTTCCAGCATATACAGAAACATAATAAAACATCAAACATTAAAAACCTTCCTATACAGGGCTGCCTTCAGATGTCTTCTAAAGGCTGTATAGTTACTTCTTGACGTCTGAAGGGAGGGCGTTCCACGGGGTGGGCGCCACTACCAAGAAGGCCCTCTGCCTGGTTCCCTGTAACGTCACTTCTTGCAGTGAGGGAACCACCAGAAGGCCCTTGGAGTGGGACCTCAGTGTCCGGGCAGAACGATGGGGGTGGAGACGCTCCTTCAGGTATACATGGTTGAGGCTGTTTAGGGAGTTAAAGGTCAGTACGAACACTTTCAATTGTGCTCAGAATCTAGTTTCTCCCATGCTCTGGACACAAACTTCTCATGGGCAATTGGTGGACCACTGTGAGAACAGGATGCTGGACTTAGATGGGCCACTGGCCTGATCCAGCAAGAGCTCTTATGTTCTTACTGTGTCTATTAAACATATAGCTCCAGCATAAAGCAGTGGAGCGTTTCTGTGGGTTTGCCTGAAGTACTTCTGTCAGGTGCACAGATTTTGAAGGCCTGTAAAAAAACAACAACCCCAACCTTCTACGAAGACCCATCTAGTCCCATCTCTCATACTTTTCCATCAGAAGACGTATGAGTTTTTATTCAGCCGGGTCTTGTGTCGAATTGTCATTTTACTGGCCTTACTTTGGTCTTTTATTGTGTTTTCATAATATTTGATCTTCTCTGTTGTTATTGTTGCTAGCCCCCTTGAGGATCGTTTGGTGGAAATGCAAATAACAAATAAGAAAGCAACATTTTTTAAAAAAATTACTGTTCCCCCCTGATGTCTAGTTGGGACGCAGGTGGTGCTGTGGTTTAAATCACAGAGCCAGGGCTTGCCGATCAGAAGGTCGGCGGATCAAAGATGGGGTGAGCTCCTGTTGTTCGGTCCCTGCTCCTGCCAACCTAGCAGTTCGAAAACATGTCAAAGTGCAAGTAGATAAATAGGTACCGCTCTGGCAGGAAGGTAAATGGCATTTCTGTACACTGCTCTGGTTCGCCACAAGCGGCTTAGTCATGCTGGCCACATGACCCGGAAGCTGTTTGTGGACAAATGCCGGCCTATAGATCGAGATGAGCGCTGCAACCCCAGAGTCATCTGCGACTGGACCTAATGGTCAGGAGTCTAGCCTCTGATTCAGTTGTTGCATCTGAGCATGCTCATACTCAGTAGTGTTAAAATGGGGAAAATCTCTTGAGTTTAATTTTTAGCGGCTGCACTGGCCTTGCAGAAATAAGCATGGTTACTAAATAAATAGAGTGCAGCTAAGTCTCAGAGCCCTTTCCTTTTTTTGTCAATATAGGCTTGATACTGAGTGTGGCCTTTGTGAGAATGTGGAGGCTGACATTAATGGCTTATACCCCGTTTTGGATCAATTGGCCAGCTGTAAGACTGACATGGAAGCTGAACTGGAGTCACTGCAAGAAGAACTGTCTGGTCTCAAAAAGAACCACGAAGAGGTACATGGTTGGCTCAACAAAATAAGAGCCCCTCGTTTTCATAAAAACAACGCATGCATGAATTGCGTAATTTATACAAAAAATTGGCACAAGCCACTTTTTGACACCAAGTGCCCCCAAACAGATTACATTCATGAATTCAAACACACACACACAAATTCAAAGAGGATTGGGTAAATTCATAGAGGAGAGGGCTATCCATGGTAACTAGTCAAAAGGTCTATTCTCTTTCTCCATGTAGTAAGTTATGCTTCTGAATACCAGTTGCTGGAAACTGCAGGAGAGGAGAGTTCTCTTGTGCTCTGGTCCAGCCATCTGATTGGCCACTGTGAGAACAGGATGCTGGACTAGATGGACCAATGGCAGGCTCTTCTTATGTTGTTCCACAGGGAACGTTGAACAGTTGATGCTGTGTGCAGCCAGCCCTTTTATAATACAACAGCAAAGGCATGGTTCTCATCAAAGTTCTCTTTGCAGGAATTAATCTCTTTGCAAAAACTTTGTTCAAGTGATGTCAACATGGAAATCAGTGCCTGCCCCAGTCGAGATCTGAAGAAAATCCTGGAGGAGATAAGATGCAAGTACGAAGCAACGATCGACTCAAACCGCAAGGAGGTTGCAGAGTGGTATGAAGGCAAGGTAAATGAATCTGGCCCCTGTTAGAGAGCCAAACTTTAAAAGAAGAAGAAGAAGTCTGATGGGAAAAGGGCAGGGGCTGCAGGAGTCTCCAGAGTGATGGTGGTGGTAGGATGCTCTGCGTTGTTTTGTTATTCACTACTTTTACACCCACACCTTCCCCCAAGACCATGCGTGGTTCCTCCCACCTCCTCCATTGCATCCTCATAACAAGACTGTGAGGTAGGTTAGGCTGGGAGATGGTAACCCAGCAAGCTTCATGACCTTGCATGGAGATTGGAACCCAGGTCTCGCCACTGCTCTTCCCTTTGGCTAATCAAAGAAGTAGGAAGAATGCCGTGCAGCAGTATACCCAAAAGTGCAATGTTCTTCAGGTTGCAATAACTATAGCCTTAAAAAAAAAGGGGGGGGGGAGGGGGAATCAAAGCATATACAATCCTGGCTCAGCATCTCTAAAATAGAAAAGAATGTGCTCTTTCCTTTCCTTTTGTTCTGCCAAAGCCAATGTTCCACTCCCCCGCCCCGCATACCGAATAGTACATAAAACCTCTGAAAATGCTGATGTTTCAGTCAATCTGTGTTTCAGCTGGAGGAAGTGAACCAGGAAATCTGCACCACTAGCAAGGAAGCTGAGGATGGCAACCATAAGGCCATTGAGCTGAAACGTCAGCTGCAGGCCTTAGAGATTGATCTCCAAGCCCAGCGCAATCTGGTAAGGAGAGCGAGTGTGGGATGCATCTTATTGCTCTATCCTTTTTGCGGCTCAGAGCAACTCACATGGTGGAGTCACGGTGGGTCTTCCATCCTGGGACTAATCATGTCCACAAATCCCTTGGTTTCAATCATGCCATGCCATGGGGTCCTCTCCAGACATTCAGTGGGTACAGATGCTTGGGTGCATGAGGTGAGAGCGCTCAGTTAACTTAGGTCCAGTAGTGGTTGGTGGGGCAGGATGAAGCAGAGTGGCATTGGAACACTGTTGTAATCATTAATACATAAAATAATTACAGTGGTACCTCAGGTTACAGACGCTTCAGGTTACAGACTCCGCTAACTCCGAAATAGTACCTCGCGTTAAGAACTTTGCTTCAGGATGAGAACAGAAATCATGCAGCGCCGGCGCAACAGCAGGGGGAGACCCCATTAATTAAAGTGGTACCTCAGGTTAAGAACAATTTCAGGTTAATAACGGACCTCCAGAACTAATTAAGTTCTTAATCCGAGGTACCACTGTATCTCAGTGATCGAGCTGGGATATAAGGTTTCAGACAGTCCCTAAGCTACTCTAGGTTGTTCAGGGCTTTGTAGATTAATGGAAGAGACTTTGAACCTGGCTTGATAGTAGATGAGGCTTCAGCATGAGGTAAAAAAGGGGTAAAGGTAAAGGACCACTGGACAGTTAAGTCCAGTCAAAGGTGACTATGGGGTTGCGCTGCTCATCTCACTTTTCAGGCCGAGGGAACCGGCGTTTGTCCAGAGACAACTTTCTGGGTCATGTGGCCAGCATGACCAAACCACTTCTGGTGCAATGGAGCACCGTGATGGAAACCAGAGCGCATGGAAACACCGCTTACCTTCCCACCACAGTGGTACCATTTATCTAGTTGCACTGGTGTGCTTTTGAACTGCTAGGTTGGCAGGAGCTTGGACAGAGCAATAGGAGCTCACCCCGTCGCAGGGGATCAAACCGCTGACCTTCTGATCGGCAAGCCCAAGAGGCTCAGTGGTTTAGACCGCAGCACCCCCCCCCCCGCATGTTGTAGGCCATGTTGAGCATCATTGGCAGTCTGCTCCTCAGCAACTGGCATTCAGAGGAATGCCTGGGGGTAATATACAGACATCATGGTTAGTAGCCATTAATAGGCTGATTTGATTTATGTTCACCTATGTACTTTCTCTTTGGTTTCTGCGTAGCTTCTGGTTCCAAAAGCTTTTCGTTCATGCCCACACATTTAAGGTACTTAGGATGCTGCCTCTTGTTCCCTCCTCACCCCTTTAGAGAGACACACTGCAAGCGTCCTTGGCTGAAGGAGAACATCGCTACAATGCTCAACTAGCCGAAATACAGGATCGCATCTCCTGCATGGAGCAGCAGCTGGCAGAGCTGCGCTTGGAAATGGAGGGCCAGGACCGGGAATACAAAGAGCTCCTGGATGTTAAGAACAGGTTGGAGCAAGAGATCCAGACATACCGCAGCCTGCTAGAAAATGTGCCAGGCGAAGTACATGCCACACCATGAAAGAACAGCCTAATTTCTTATCCCCTACCATTTCCGTTGCATGACTAGATTGGGACTAAGGTTAATTTCCAGCAAAGGCCAACTATGTTGAAATATCTGCATCTTAATTCTTGGTTTCAGTTTTTAATGGCTTCTGGTCATTTCTACTTCTGAATAAGGCTGAGCTGAAAGAGGGGGAGATTTCTGCAAACATGGAAAAACTCCTTTTGGTAACCTGCAGGGGACTGCAGTGAAAGGGGGAGAAAGTGTTCAGGAAGCATTGCTCTGTGTCAGCCTTCTGTTGAAGTGATCATCTTTCTGCATTTTTTTGCTTCTGGCACCTATTCTGCTAATCCACACAACTTGCTCATTTTGTTGTTTAATTAACCCACTTGTTTCTAATAAATGCTAATAAAGGCTTTGCCGGTTGCAACTGAACCTGAATAGCAGCTTCGTCAATTCTGACTGTGTGATGGTGACAGTCATATGAGAAACCACATTTAAGAGGCATCACAAAATGACAGGTTGCGTTCACCCTACACTTTGGAGGTCCCCATAAAACTGCCTTAGACAAGACTAGTTCCAACGTGTCATTCTCATGAATAACAAACCATTACGGTTAATGATAATAATACAGATGGTCTTTGAGAAGGACAACAGGTGCAGATGACTGAGGCCTCACTTCTCTGCTGTCATCTGCCAGGCTGGTTCTTGGCGAGTTTCCATCAACTACCAAGTCAACACTAAACCCATCACCATCCCAGCTTCTTTGTATGCCATGGTTCTTCCAAACAGACCTGCTGTGCACCAGGTAGACCCACCTGCGGGCATGACTTCCAAGTCCCCTTCGCTACCTAACAGGCAGCTGATGGCCTTGAGACCCCAGCAACCACATTCAACCCCACCTCTGAGCGAAGTCTACACAGCAGTCTAGAACTGTTACAATTCTGGAGGTCATGCATTCAGTGGCTTAGCGTGGGGCGGGGCAGCCATGGCGATGGTCCGTGACACATTTTAGGGGTGCAATTTTTTTGGGGGGATGCAAGTTTGCAAAATTTAAGTTTGAAAAGGCCACAAGAATAGAAAACCGCCTGGGTGGGGGATGGGGGCCTTTTTCCTTTCCTTTAACTATACACAGAAATCACATGATATTGGAGGAATGCAGATTGATCTCTGGAATGACTTGAAGGGCACATGGCTGTATCCAGCAGCTGCATTATTTGGATTTTGCAAACTTCAGAACTTGGTGTTGGGCAGGCCGCAGGCCAGGGCGTCCTCTTATACACCTGCTGGGATCGACAAGGCATTTGACCCTCAGCTGAATCTCATAGCTCTCCTGCAGCTGCCTCTCATTAGTTATCATTTAACTCTTGGGGGAAATAATTAGCATCACACGTCATGTGCGTGGAAATTGCTGAACCAATTAACCAAATAGAACGATTACTGTTAATAGCACCAGTTTTCCTATAACTTTATATTGCTGGATAATTTTGATGAACTGCAAAAGCATTTTTAGTTTGCTTTCTGTTGCCACCCTGGAACTTTTCTTTATTAGTGCCACTTCGTTTTGTACGATTCCTTGCAAATGAAAGAAAACAACTTTTCTACTTGTATATGTTGATAATATAATTTTGGTTACTGGGGACAAACAAGATTGTACAAAAACAAGATTGGGTGCAGGCCTGGCCAGGACATAGGCATCCTGACTGTGACAAAGGTGACCTGTGTGCTTGCTTGCTTGCTTGCTTGCTTGATTAACAGCTGTTGGGAACTTCAAGGTCCCTGCTCTCCCTCCTTATGGTCTTTGTACTGGACCTGGAGACTCCAATAGAGAGCATTCCATGTCAAGAAGGAGGGCAAGTGGGCACTCTATCAATTGACAGGTCAGGAGTTATACGGAGCAGGGCCTCGCACTTCCCAGACCTGCTCTCTTTTGGCCTGTATTTTGGAACTTTATAAATTAGGAAGACTTTGGAAGACTTTGCACCAGGGTTTACACCAGCATAATAGAGTTGGCTCGAAGCTACAAACATGAGTCTGACGGAGGCAGTGGAAGACAGGAGTGCCTGGCGTGCTCTGGTCCATGGGGTCACGAAGAGTCGGACACGACTAAACGACTAAACAACAACAACAATAGAGTTGGCCAGGATGCCAGAAGGGCACCCATTATCTGCATAGCAGGGGGTGTTCAGCCAACAGTGCAAAGGCTGAGCTGAAGCATTCCCTGCTGGTTACCTGCTTTCAGCAATAGGGGGTCACTGTTTGGTAGTACCCAATTGGTGTCAGATTCTAGAGCTCCCTATTGGTGGCGCTTAGGTAATTCACAAAATACAGAGTCCATTCATAAAACACAGTGTTCATTCATAAAGCAGTAACATAAATCTCCATTGCTACATATTGGGTGTATATTTCAGCGGCTGACCGTACAAGTTTATGGCCATGCTGTAGTGTAGTGCTTATGTGACTGTGAATAAAAGGTGGCTGGGCTCATTGTCTTGGGGTTTGGGGGGGGGGAGGTGACAAAACTGATTTCCAATAAATGTCCCCCTTTATTTCCATAACAGTTCCTTGAGTCTGTACTCTGAATGGTGACACCAGGGACCTAGGAGGTGCAGGGCTTGTCAGTCCAACCCCTGCACAGTCTTATCAGGGCTGACCTTAAGGCAACTGGAGCAATTGGGTCAAATTGGATCCCGCAGACCACTCCTAAGGGGCCCTCCACATCTACCTTTCTTTCACTTGCAAAATCCTAACCTTTAAAAGTCCACTGAAGAATGTGGAATGTCCAAGGGGGTGGGGAAGGGCTGGGACTCTGTGGAACAGGCAGAGTGAGGCCTTGAATGCCAAGACAAATGCTTTGAGATAACAGAATGTGCCTCTCAGCTGGAGAGGAGACCTCTGAAATTCTTCTGGAACTTTCCCCCTTTAACATCCAGGAAGAATGTGAAAACATTCCTATTTACCCAGACATTCAGTGGCTGAAGAACACCATTCCTGACAAACCCGATGAAAGAATGCATTTAGGTGTAATTGCTAATATATATATATATAAACTGAAACTGCTTTTAGTTTTTTTCATTGTAACTGTTTTTAGAAAGCTTTAAAACTTTTGGAGTGTTTTCACAGTGATTTTTTGTTTTGAAATTGGGTATCCATTTGCTACTTGAGGAGGAAGGTCAGGATATAATTCAGATGATGAAGATGTTCTGGGTCTATCCAGCACACTAACCATGTGGTAGTCTCATTTGGATACGGGATTATTTTTTTTTTTAAATGAATCCGCTGTGACACCAAGAAAAGGGGATGAATTAGAATAAGGGACGCCCTGTCAGCCAACATAATACAGTCAAATATATATTAAAGGCAACCCCATCATTAAAAAGGAAAAAAAAAATTGCAGCACTAACATTTTCCAGGTTGTAGCTGCGCCTCCTGAAATGTAATGAATACATGAATTAAGTAAACATGTAATATAGAATTAAAATTTAATGCCTCTCTCTGTGTGTCTAACACGCAAACACAAATTAAAAGCCCACATTCATTATTTTTCCTATGTTAATTTCTTCCTCAACATTACTTCCCTAGCACATCAAAGACACGGAAAAAGTCTTCATCAGATGGTGCCTGCTAGGCATTATGTAAATCGAGCAAGCTCATTATGACAGGTAACAATATTTTTTTTAAAAAAGCTTTGCATAGTTGCTGGTGGAAGCAAAGCATTTCTCAGGGAATGGAAGAACTTCTTGGATATTCTGTTCTCCTGGTGGGACTGGGGGTTTAGCCAGGCATGCCCATTTCTAGGATACAGTTGCACCTTGGCTTTTAAACAGCCTAGTTCTTGAACGTTTTGGCTCCCGAACGATCAAAACCCAGAAGTGAGTGTTCCGGTTTTCGGACATTCTTTTGGAAGCCAAATGTCCCATGGGGCTTCTGTGGCTTCTGATTGGCTGCAGGAAGCCGCACTTTGGTTTTCAAACATTTTGCTAGTTGAACAGACTTCTGGAACGGATTCCGTTTGACTTCCAAGGTACTACTGCACTCCATTTGACATTTGACTCCATTTGGTTTTCTCCAACAATTAGCCAGCCTTCTGTGGCCACGGTTCTGCTTAGTTCTCAGAGGCTGCTTTTGTCCTCTTCTTGTTTCCTTTTCTCCTTTTTTCTGACTTCCACAAACCTTGGGATTCATCCAAACCTGCTGCTATCTCCCTCTTGTGCATGGATTGTGGGGTTGTTGTTTTTTGGTTGTGCAGAATCCATACCCTATACAAATTACCAGCAGAGTCAAAGCACAAAGCAGAAATCAAAAGTGCACACAGCACACAAGTCAGGCAAGACGAGCCTAGCTGCAATTACATGTCAAGGCATAAGTATATATGTAGAGTATTATTAAGGAATTAAGCCTTTAGTAGATTCTAGAACACATTAACCCATTTTGCAGATAGAGAACACTGAGAATGAAATTAGTCCTGAAAACAGTTAGTGATTCTATGGCAGAGAATGCAAGGGCATGTATTCCCAGGTGTGCTTTAAAAAATAAAAGGTTATTTATGTATGTAACAACTGCGGCCCACATTTTGTTAGCCGCAAAATGGAAAGTGAGCAAGGTCCCAACTAAAGCAGATTGGCAACTTAAGTACAGTGGTGCCTTGGGTTACAGATGCTTCAAGTTAAAGACGCTTTAGGTTACAGACTCTGCTAACCCAGAAATAGTACCTTGGGTTAAGAACTTTGCTTCAGGATGAGAACAGAAATCGCGCGGTGGCAGCGTGAGGCCCCATTAGCTAAAGTGGTACCTCAGGTTAAGAACAGTTTCAGGTTAAGAACGGACCTCCAGAATGAATTAAGTTCTTAACCTGAGGTACCACATTAGACAAAAATGTTCATGGATGCAGAAAACTAACCTCTTACAGCAGCCTTGTGTTATTAAACGATTGCCTGGTCACCATCGCCAGTGCAATTGGTCCAGGATTGGTGCTATTTGCCCTGGCTGTTTTGCCCTGGTGAGCAGCCTAGCCACTGAATTCTGTACCAGTTACAGCTTCAAAACTGTCTTCAAAGGCAGCCCCTTGTACAGTGGTACCTCGGGTTACATACGCTTCAGGTTACATATGCTTTAGGTTACAGACTCCACTAACTCAGAAATAATACCTCGGGTTAAGAACTTTGCTTCAGGATGAGAACACAAATCATGTGGCGGCAGTGCGGCAGCAGCAGGAGGCCCCATTAGCTAAAGTGGGGCTTCAGGTTAAGAACAGACCTCCGGAACGAATTAAGTACGTAACCAGAGGTACCACTGTATAACGAATTGAGGTAATCTTGCCTAGAGGTCACCAGAGCACAGAAGCAGAAGATGGGCAATCCCTGCCCTGATTGGGGCA